TTTTTATGGTTTTATTTTGGTTTTTGGTTTGTTTTGAGACAGGCTGACACTGTGTAGCCCAGGCTGGCCTCAAACTTGCTGCCATCCTCCTGCCTCAGCCTCCTGAGTGCTGGAATGACAGGTGTATGCCACCACACCCAGTTTAAATTTTGAATGATATTTATCTTCTCCATTCTCCTTTGTTTCTTACAACGACCAGGCATCATATTGATCCTGGAGAAAGGTGGGCGGTTCCCAGACAAAAACACCAGGGGGATTGAAGTGAGACCCAGATCACATTTCTGGGACCATTGCTTTGGCTCAGGGCCAGGGCTCTGTGTGCTAAACACTGCACCCCGGCTCCTGCAGGCAGGGAGGCCAGCTGCGAGGGCACCCTCCGGGCCGTGGACCCCCCAGTGAGGCACCACAGCTACGGGCGCCACGAGGGGGCCTGGATGAAGGACCCTGCTGCTCAGGATGACAGGATCTATGTCACCAACTACTACTATGGCAACAGCCTGGTGGAGTTCCGCAACCTGGAAAACTTCAAGCAAGGTCAGGGTCCTGGAAATGGGAGGGGAGGAGGGGGGCAGCTTGGCAGTTTCCCTTGAGAGCCTGCCTTCCTTTGCCACCCCGGATGGCTCCAGATTATCATCTGCTGGGGGAATGGGGCAGTTCCCCCAGACCCCACGGCACCCCCTGGGTGCTGGCGCCACACCAAAAACCAAAGACAGAGGCTAAGACGGTCCCGCCTCCTGCATGTCACTTCCTGTCTGAGGCTCCACTTGCTGAGGGCTGCTTCGTGCCATTCACCCTGTGGCATCTGCCCGTCGCCAGGAATGGGGGCTGTTCCCTGTTCTACAGGCGAGCAGCCCCAGGCCTTAGGGGAGTTGCGATACCCACCAGGGACCTTGGTGTCACTGCTGTTAGCAAAGGGAAGGGTGGAATTGGGGTTCTCAGGTCTGAGGCATGGTGGCAGGAGGGGACTGCAGCCACCCTCCAGAAAGCTGCAGTCCAGCGTGGAGACAAAGGTGTAGAGAGGCAGTTGGGGTCCAGTGACGGGGGCACAGCTCAGAGCACTGTGGGGAGCCAGCCCAGGGGGCAAGGAAGACTTCCAAGGGCAGAGGCACAGGAGGAAGGCAGGCAGCAGAGGAAAGGCTGGTCCAGGCAGGAGGCCCAGCATGTGCAAAGGCCCTGGGACAAGACACAGGGCTGGGTTCACCATGCATCTCAATCCTAGCTATGCCAGGCACACGGGGTGGCATTAGCACCTCCCGCATGGCACTGTAGTGGTGAAATAAGTGGACTGTCTTGCTGGTCTTCCGGAGGCTTGGGGTGACCTCTGCCCTCGATCGCAGGCCGCTGGAGCAACATGTACAAGCTGCCCTACAACTGGATCGGCACAGGCCACGTGGTATACCAGGGCGCCTTCTACTACAACCGCGCCTTCACCAAGAACATCATCAAGTACGACCTGCGCCAGCGCTTCGTGGCCTCCTGGGCGATGCTGCCCGATGTGGTGTACGAGGACACTACGCCCTGGAAGTGGCGGGGGCACTCGGACATCGACTTTGCCGTGGACGAGAGTGGCCTATGGGTCATCTACCCTGCCGTGGACGACCGCGACGAGGCCCAGTCCGCGGTGATCGTGCTGAGCCGCCTGGACCCCGGTGACCTCTCCGTGCACCGCGAGACCACATGGAAGACGCGGCTGCGGCGGAGCTCGTACGGAAACTGCTTCCTGGTGTGCGGCATCCTGTACGCCGTGGACACCTACAACCAGCATGAGGGCCAGGTCGCCTATGCCTTCGACACCCACACGGGCACGGACGCGCGTCCCCAGCTGCCGTTCCGCAACGAGCACGCCTATACCACTCAGATCGACTACAACCCCAGGGAGCGCGTGCTCTACGCCTGGGACAACGGCCACCAGCTCACCTACGCCCTCCACTTTGTGGTCTGAGCGGGAGAGGCCTGGTGGTGGGGCCTCTCCAGCATCTCCTGCAGCGACGCCACCAAATAGTTACCCGGAGCTGGGTGGCATGCTTCCTCAGCACCCGTGGGGCGGCCCTGGCTTCTACTCCAAAGCATCAAGCTTTACATGTAATCACCCTTTCAACACTCTCGAATTCTCCCTTGGAGGAAGAGATCATAGCTCTTCTATGGGTGTGATGGTGCACCCTTGTAATCCCAGCACTCAGGAGGCTGAGGCAGGAGGATTGAGACCCTTCCTCAAAAAAACCAAAAAAGGCCCATTTAACAGATGAAGAGCGTGAGGCCCAGAGAGGCCGGCCATGTTGTCCTTGCCCCATTCTGCAAATGGGGGAACCTCGCCAAGCTCTTGCCTCTTTCCCCTGCCTCCCCTCCCTCAGCTCTCTCTCCCTCCCCAGGGCTACTCAAGGCCCAAAGCCCTTGGGGCCAATGCACTGATTTTCTGCCACTCTAGGCCTCTGTTTTTGTTTTTTTGTTTTTTGTTTTGGTACCAGGGATCGAACTCAGGACCTTGTGCTTGTGCAGCAGGCACCGGAACCATTGAGCTAAATCCCTGACCCCATGTTTTTTTTTGTTTTGAAACAGAGTTGCTCTGTAGCCCAGGCTGGCCTTGAACTCGCAGCCATCCTCCTGCCTCGGCCTCCTGAGTGCTGGCATCACAGGTGTGCGCCCCCGGCCCAGGTGGCTGGCCCTCTTCTGGCTGAGCCAATGGTGGCCTTGGGCTTCAGGCCCCATGGCCAGCGTCCCTGTTCCTTGCCTTGGGTCAGCCCCATGCCCCACCCGCCCGCTGTCCGGCCACATTCCAAATGGCCACCGTCACCTCGCCACTGAGAGAAACCACACCCAGACAGAAGCTGGCCCAGGTCCTGGCCCCTCCCTCTGTCCTCGCCTGGGTGGCCCCTTGTGTCCCTTGGTGCCGTCATTTGTTGTGCAGCAGCTGAGGAGGCTGAGGCAGCTGCCTGCCAACAGCAGCTCTGCCCGGGTGTGGCACTCACTGCCTGGATTCCCTCCGCCCAGCAGCGCTCTGGCCTCAGACCCAGGCCTGGCGCCTGCCCAAGCCTTCGGGCCTGGGCTCCTTTCTCTACAGGCTCCAAAGCCACTGCTCACACACTCAGGGGCCTCTCCAGGTCTGTCCTGAGCAAGGGCCTGGCTAGGCAGCATAGGGTCCGGAAGGCAGGGAGACCCAGGGCCTCTGGGTGGGGGAAGGCAGAGAACAGGAGGGATGGGGGACCAGGCCTGAGCACCGGGCTGGCCCTGCCTTTGAGATGTCAGTGCCAGGGCTGGCAAGCTGGGGACTTGGGTCGAGGAGGCACAGGAAGGGCTGCCTGGCCCCATGGCCACTCCTCAGGCCTGCCCTCCACTTTGGATGGGATCTTTTGAGCTAGAAAGAAGTTCTGTAGCCAACTTTGTTCTGCCAAAGAGAAAAAAGCCCATAAAGGTTTAGAGGGTGGCTTGGAGCCACACAGGAAGCAGGACCCAGTGCATCTCCTTCTGGAAGGGCTTTGTACCCTTTATTCTTCCAGCTCAACTCAGAGGCAGCTCTGCCAGGGGTGAGGAGGGCACTGTAGACACCCAGCACCAAGCCACTGAGCACCAAGCCACCTAGCACCTTTGAAGGCACCTGTGCCAATCCCCACCCAGCCCAGGAGCCGATCTCTTCCTTGTGCCCCTTGCAGTCCCCAGGATATCTGTGGATTTATAGACCCACCCAGGGTGTGGTGGCATACTCGGGCGTCCCAGCTCTCAGGAGGCTGAGGTGAGAGGATTTCTGTGAGTTCTAGGCCAGTCTAGGCTACATAATGAGTTTAAGGCCAGCCTGAACTACAAAGTGAGACCCTCTCTCAAAAAATGAAACTAAATAAATAAAAATAAAGACCCAGTTACTCCATTAGGAAATTCAGCTGCCCGGCCAGGAGAAATGCAGCTGGTGCTGAGTACATTTCTTCTGTTTTTTGTATGCTGCAAGTCACCCCTGAAATAGAGGAGAAGAAGACGCCAGCCCAGCCAGGTCTGACTCACAGTGGTGGACACATCCAGCCTCCCCGACCTGCCACTGCCCAAGCCTCTTCAGGGGGCTACCAGCCCGGCCCTGCCCTCTGCCCTGGCCGTGGGTTTTACAGGCCAAGTGCTCTGTGATCTCACAGCCTGGCCAAGTGAGCAGCATCTCCATTAGTCTGAGGCAGAGGAGACTTGGAACAGGTGGATTTCTTTTCTTTTTCTTTTTCCTTTTTTTTTTTGAGACAGAGTCTCAGTATGTAACCCAGTCTGGCCTCAAACTCACTTCAGTCCTCCCGCTTTAGCCTCCCGAGTGCTGGGATTACAGGCATGGGCAACCACAGCAGGCGAACAGGTGGTCTTGAAAAAGTAAAGGACAAGCGGCTGCATCCCCCAGATACTCCTGAGGTGCCCTCTGTTTTCAGCCCCTTGTCTGTACTATGAAGTAACTCCGATTCTTTGCCTCCTTTACAGATGGAGCCCCGAGAAGTTGTCACTTGTCATGGAGGGAATTAAGGGAACCATTAGGTTTAAAAATAGATCACAGCTCAGTGTGATGGTGCACAGCTATAATCCCAGCACTCAGGAGGCTGAGGCAGGAGGATCACCCGAAAGTTGGAGGCCAGCCTGGGCTACATAGTGAGTTTGAGTCTAGTCTGACCTACATAGCGAGACCCCATCTCATCAAAATGAAGTCGTTTAGCTGAGAAGCAACAGTGCTGAGCAAGCCGCATGCATGTCCTGTTCACACAGCATTGAACACATACTCTGAATGTACCTATTTCACAGACAACACTGAGGCAAAAGGGACCTACCCAAGGTCACACAGCAGCCTAGTCTGCGGCAGACCTGGGGTTTCAGGCTGGGCAGAGCACTTCTTTGCCAACTGCAGCCTTTCTGGTGGCAGCTCTGGAAATGGTAGCTGTTACTCTTACCCAGCGTGGCCAGGCGAGAAACCCTAAGAAGAGGTCTGGAGCCAACTTGTACAGAGCCTTGAATGCCAAGCCCAGGGGTGGCCACCTCCAATCACATTAGAAACAAGGCCGAATATAAAGTCCTAGAGGAGGGGCCGGGGATGTGGCTCAGTGGCGCCGCTGCCTGCCTAGCAAGCTCAAGGTCCTGTGTTCAATCCCCGGTACAAAAAATTAAAAAATAAATAAAGTCCTAGAGGAAAGGGAATTCTCTTTTTTCTTTTTTGGTAACAGGTAACAGGGATTGAACTCCGGTCCTTTTGCATTTTCGAGGCTGGTGGCAGAACCATTGAGCTAAATCCCTCGCCCCAAGGAAAGGGAATTCTAAGATGGATTATAGTGGAGTTTTGTCTATTCCCTGGGGATAGGAGGCCGAGAAGGGCTGCTATTGGGAACTGGGAACTGGGACCAGTTCCATTTGTGGACCTGGAGGCTCTAAAGGAGATCTGAGGCTCAGCACTTTTTAAAAAGGACCCAGCCCTTCTTACCCACTGCATCTGTGAAGGCAGAGGAAGCTGCCTTCTATGTCTCTTGTTTGGTTTTTTGAGATGGTCTTGCTATGCACCCCAGGCTGGCCTGGAACTCATGGTGATCCTCCTGCCTCAGCTTCCCGAGAGAGAGCTGGGGTTATAGGTGTGCACCACCATGCCCAGCTTTGCCGCCAGGGTTTCTGAAAAGTGAGAGGTGATATAAGGGGGGCTGCCACCATGGGCTCCTCCCCAGTCCGAGCTCTCTGGGGAGGAAGAAGCCGCCTCTGTCTGGGGGGTAGCCCAAAGGTGCAGTGGGGACCATGCCAGGCCTCCCACAAGCCGTTTCCAGAACAGCTTTTGCCCAAGCCACACCGGAAGCCAAGGTGGTTATGGCAGGATGTGGTGCTTCGAGGCTGTCGGAGATGGAGGTGGCGCCACGCACCTGGACAAGGTCCTCCCAGGGCCTGGGGTGCTGACTTGCTTCGGCCGAGGCCACGCAGCTTAGGGGGACAGAGGACCCAAGCCACACCTCACAGAGCTGGGGGCAGCTGGGTAGACATTGTCACTACACCAAGGAGCCCCGAGCCAGGCAGTATCTTCCCCACAGGTGAGGAACCTCCCAGTTCCAAGGGCTGAGCTCCCTGCTCAGGGTGGATCTCTAACAAGGAGAGTTGAGATCAGAACAAAGCTGGGCACGAGAGTGCACAGCTGAGATCCCAGTACCCGGGAGGCTGAGACAGGAGGATCTCTGCAAGTTTGAGGCCAGCCTGGGCTACATAGTGAGTTCAAGGCCAGAGTGGGCTTCATAATGAGACCCTGTCTCAAAGAAAAAAACATATATATATATATTTGAACCAGGTCTGTTTTTAAACCCCAAAACTAACTCTTGTTAGGAACCTTGTAACTAGTAATGTTTTCAGCTCCTGGAAAGCTCAAAGTCAAATCTGAATTCATTTTTAACAACTGTGCTGTCTCCTACTGGACTCTGCTTGTATATAGCCTGATCGATTTGTATTCCATTGTATTGTATCAATTTTTATAAGTTGCCACAATACCTTTCTTCCAACAAGGTGGTGTATACCTAAATAAAATACATGGTCAAAAGCTAGATTGACTGCCACCTGCCCCGCAAGTGCAGGCACCTGAGTTCAATCCCCAGTAACAAAAGAAAAAAAGCTAGATTGAAAATTCTTGACTAAATGCTGTGGTCTGGGGCTGGGGAAGTAGCTCAACTGTAGAGTGTTTGTCAAGCATGTGACAGACTTGGGTATGGTCCCCTGTTTCCTATTATATATTATCTGTCTTTTATTTTGCTCTTTATTTATGCTTTTGGTCATATGAAAGAAACCATTGTGGTATTTAAGCTTCTGTGTGTACCTGATTTATTTCACCTAACATGATAATCTCAAAGTGCATCTATTGTCCTACAGATGATTGAAGTTTATCCTCCTTTTTTTTTTTTTTTTTTTTTGGTACCGGGGATTGAACTCTGGTCCTTCCACTTGCAGGACAGGCAGCGGGACCACTGAGCTAAATCCTCAGCCCAAGTTTATCCTTGATGGCAGAGTAGTACTCCACTGTGAATAAATACCACAGTTTTTTTTATCCATTCATCTGTTGATAGACATATAGGTTGCTTCCAAGATTTAGCTGTTCTGAATTGTGCTGCTGTAAATATGGGTATGCATGTATTACTGGAATATGATGTCTAATTCTTCTGGGAAGATACCTAGAACAGGAACATCTGGGTCAAATAGAATTTCTAATTTTAGTTTTTTTTGAAGAATATTGATTTCCATAGAGGTTGTACTAGTTTACATCCACCACATTTAGTAAATTTTTTTTTTTTTTGGTACCAGGGATCGAACTCGGGTCCTTGCCCTTGCACAGCAGGTGGCAAAACCACTGAGCTAAATCCCCGGCTCCATTTAGTAAATTTTTTAAAAATAATTTTGGTCAGACGTGATTGTGCACACCTGTAATCCCAGCTACTCTAGAAACCGAGGCAGAAGGACCAAAAGCTTGAGGCTAGCCCAGACAATTTAGTGAGAACCTGCTCAAAATTAAAAAGGGAGCAAGCTCAGTACTAGAGTGCCCCCAGGTTCAATCTCCAACACTACACATGCACCCCAAAGTCTGTCATGACAACTGGCCTTGCTGTTCTGCTGTCACTGGAACTAACCCAAGGAAGAAGCTATGCCAGATCTAACTGAGGCCACTGTGAACGAACCCTCTCCAGGGACAGAGGACAGGGAGCACCCCAGTGGTGCTCAAGTAACACCAGTCCCTGCCCCTAGCTTCTTGTGCTGGCCACAGAGAGAACTGATTTCCGTGTTTGCTCCTGGGTCAGAGATGCAGGGATGGGGGACAGGTGAGAATGGAACAAAGAGCCCAGCGTGGTGGCGCACACCTGTCATGCTACTGCTTAGGAGGAGTCTGCAAAGTTCAAGGCCAGCCTGAGTTACCTAGTGAGTTCAAGGCCAGCCGGAACTACAAAGGGAGACCCTGTCTCCAAACCGAAAAGGTATTAGTGACAACGTCTGCTTTTCCTAAGACGATGAGTATTACGAGTTGGGATGGGGAGTCAGACTTTACTTAAACTTGTGTTCCTCAAACTTTAGTCACTCAGGTACCCTCTCCCTTTCCCATCTGCACGGGACTTGCTGATGCTCTTAGACCATCTGTTGCTCTTACCAGGATAAAATGGGGCAGGGGGTGAAGGCTGAGACAGGGTCTCACTATGTAGCCCAGGCTGGCCTTGAACTCATTATGTAGTCCAGCCTGCCCTCAAACTTGCAGTGACCCTCCTGCCTCAGTCTCCTTCCCAGGTGCTGGGATGACAGGAGTGCAGAACCACACTGGGCTTTAGAACTGTTCTATTTCCAAAAGAAGATTTATAAGCTGTTAACCAACAATGCAATTTTAAGATAGAGACTTTTATTACAATACTAAAAAGGCAGTATCCGTGGCCTGAAGTACTTGGGGACCACAGACTGGGCTGCTACCTTGAAATCGAGCAGTGCGGCTGCATTCCGGGCTGCGCCAAGCCTGCAGAGCCCCTGCCCTGTCACCTCCCTTTGTGAAAAAGGAAGATGGCAAATGTTGAGGGATAGAGGGCAAGTGACGCTGTCCCCGATGTGACCAGGGGAGAGGATCTGTGATGGTTCAGATCTGGACGCCCCCATGAGCCTCAGGCACTCAAGGTGGGGCTCTGGAGAGGAGATTGGGTCATGGGGCTCGGAGCTGCCTTGCTGAGCTGACTGACAGGCGTGCACCACCCTGCGTGTGCAGTTGGCAAGGGAGAGTCTGAGCCATAGGCTGTGTCCTGTGCTCAAGCCCACCCTAAAACACGGCACCAGGAGATCCAACTCTAGTCCATCACCTCACATCAGATTAACTGGGGAGCCCCGAGGGGGGCAGGGCAGCGCACACTGTACTCCCAGCACCCAGGAGGCTGAGGCAGGAGGATCGTCGTGAGTTTGAGGCCAGCCTGGGCCACATAGTTGAGACCCTGTCTCAAAAACAAAAAACCAGCCGGGGGTTTAGCTCAGTGGTTCCGCCCCACCTGCCTTGTGAGCACAAGGTCCTGAGTTTGATCCCCCATACCAAAAAAACCCCCCAAAAAACCAGAAGCGGTCGGGAGTTTTAAAGGATGCTCGTGCCCAAGAGCCCTGACCATGACACCAGAGTCTCTGAGAGCAGAGCCAGAGATGTGGGGGCGCCCACAGACCTGGGGAGATCACACCCCCAGCTGGGAGGAGGCCCCAGGAACAGCCGTGGCGGAGACCGGTATCCTGGGGCACAGGCCACGGCGGCCAGAGAGCGAGGCAGCACAGAAGGGCGGGCAGTGCAACGCCCGCTGCCCACGGTCCTGCCAGCCACTGGCCAGATCCCACATTCCTGCAGGGACCGGGGCTCACAGCGAAGCCTGCGGCGGGTGATGACCACCAAGACCCATCTGCGTGAGCACAGGGCGGCTTCCACTGCCGAGGGGCGCCCACCAGCCTGGCTGCTTGGCTCCCAGCCCTCATTTCAGCCGCCCAAGGACAGACAGCTCATTCTCTCCCTTGGCCGGAGGCGGTCCCTCGCCCTCCCTGCCTGGCTGCCCCACGGCCCCGTTGTCCCTGACCCCACCCAAACCAGAGTTGGCCTTCCTCGTGCTCAGCACCAGAGTGGACTACACCAGGGTATGCAAAAATCAAGCTCCCCAGGTCCTCGGCCAGGTGCAGTGGTTCACATCTATAATCCCAGTACTCAGGAGGCTGAAGCAGGAGGATCGCAGTGAGTTCAAGACCAGCCTGGGCTACACAGTGAGTTCAAGGCCAGCCTGAACTACATAGCAAGACCCTGTCTCAAAAAACAAACAAACAAAACCCTCAAACAAACAAAAATTTAAAAATAAGATCCATATGTATACTATGGTTTTGTTCCTATAGATTTTTTACATATGTATAGTTTGGGATTCTTTCTTTCTTATTTTTGTTGGTGCTGAGGATGAAATCCAGGGCCTCTGCCCATGGTAGGCAAGGGCTCAACCACTGAGCTATACCCTGACCCCCCCAAAAGCTACTCTATTTATTTACTTACTATGTTTTGGTTTTGGGGGTTTTTTTTTGGTACCAGGGACCGAAATCAGGTCCTCGCGCTTGCAGGCCAGGCAGCAGAACCACTGAGCTAAATCCCCAACCCCTTACTATGTTTTTAATTAACTGACTTTATTGGTACATTTAAAGTCCACCTGATGATCACATTCAGCATAGGGAATTTGTACTGTACATGATATATCTTTTGGGGGGCTGTGGGGGATACCGGGGATCAAACTCAGGACCCTGCACTTGCCAGGCAGGCATGGCACCACTGAGCTACATCCCAGCCCCTACATGATTTATCTGGATTCTTAGTTTTTCCCATTCCCCTCTCTTCGACCCCTCTTGCCCTCCGTACTATTTTCCGAGACACAGTCTCACTCTGTAGCTCAGGCTGGCCTTGAACTCTTCACCATCCTCCTGCCTCAGCCTTCTGAGGACTGAGATTACAGGTGTGCACCACCCCACCCAGTGTGACAGTTTGATTTTAAATGAAGAAAAACATCCATTTCCACCTTTGGGGGATGTGAAGGAACCCTGGAGGCTCTGGGAATCGCTCCCCTCCCTTGCTGTCCCCTCTTCCTTCCTCCTCACTGGCCCCTCATCCTGCTCTCCCCAGGGTCCTTTCAACTTTGTTCTGAAGACTGGAAGATTTCAGGATGAAACTCAGGCAGAGCACTGGCTTTGCTGCATGAGGCCCTTGGTTTGATCCCCAAAACCACTCCCCTACCTCTCTACCCCTACAAAAAAAGATTTAAGCCAGATGTGGTGGCACACCCCTGGAATCCCAGCACTGGGGAGGCTGAGGCAGGAGGATCTCCAAGAGTTCATGGCCACCCTGGGGTACATAGTGAATTCAAGGCCAGCCTGGACTACATAGCCAGATGCATCTCAAAAAAACCCAAACAATAAGGAATTGGCACAAAGAAGGGCGGAGCCTGGCAGGTGCTGTGAGGCCAGGGCAGGTGGGGGACTCAAAAAGGACAGAGGGACAGGCCCTGGATTCTGGCTGACATGGAGGGGAAGCAGGCAGTGTGGGTGTGGCGAGCAGCTACAGGCCAGGGAGGCTTCGGTCTGTGCCCTTGGGGAGAGAGGCCAGGCCCCTATCCCTTTCCTCCCCCATCTCTCGGGCTCCAAGGACCCCCAGGCCCGGCCACAGCAAGTCCAGGTGACCACGTGTGCTGGTGACACAGGCCTTCGCTCCAGCCCCAGTGCATCCTGGGTGGGCGCCACCAGCTTGGCTTCTTAGCACCAGGAGATAAAGGACAGGGGTCCGGGGGAGGCTTGGGCCAGACGAGGACAGGGTGCCCAGTCCTCCAGGAAATCGGCCTGGTCACCGAGCTGCTTGTACCTCAAAGCTGCTCCTCCTGACCCTCAGCTTTGGTTCTCTGGCTTTCGAGGGTCGGCAGGCTCCTCTTTACTCTCGACGGGCCCACTGGTGCCCACTGCCCAGGGACAATGGCCTGGGTTCCAGGCTAGGGGCTGCATGCTTATTGGGGGCCATGAAAGAGGAACTCAGGCCAGCTCCAATTTACAGATCAGGACCCAAAGCTCACAGTGTGGAAGGGATTTGGCTGGGGACAGATGTGGTCAGGTGGGCCCAGCCTCTGTCTGAACTGTTCCTGAGCTGTCTTTCAAAGTGACATTGTGCTGGGCATGGTGGCGCATGCCTGTTATCCCAACACTTGGGAGGCTGAGGCAGGAGGATGTCAAGTTTGAGCCCAGCCTGGGCAACTTAGTGACTTAGTAAGATCCTGTCTCAAAATTAAAAATTAAA